AAGATATCGAAGGCACCCCACATCTCCTTGCTGCAAAGATCGCTGCACAATTCCAGGTATCTTACTTTCACCAGAGTTGATAACGCTTAGTGTAATCGAATCTATACTTCTTGATACAGTGCGTCATGATGGCTTTAAATGATTTTCTAGGCGATAAAGTTTCCAGAACGTTTAACCTGCCAAAGTTATCTGGTTTCATACAACTGGTACGACGAAAAAAAAATGTTGTTTTCAGCTTAGCGATGTCAAAGGGATGCTGCAAACCATCTCAGAGTTTTTGCCTGTGATTCTGAAGAACGAGTGGTGCTCAGTAGATGTGACAATCGCCGATGCTGGCGCTACTATGGAGGTTATCAAATTGCTTGGTTGAGATTTTCAAAAATATGTATACTTCTAAATTTGAAACTATCAGTATATTTCTAGAGTATATATATCCGCTTTTTATCAGATCTAGACGTGATGGAATTCGACACCTTTGTGTATTTGACGCAAAATCCATACAAACTGAAACCTATAGAAGTAAAGTTACAAAAAAAACATATGATTTTCAAATAACTTTATCTTATACGGAATCCACTTTAAATACCTTACATGCTCTTACATTTTATAATTCTCTCTGGGAGGAGGGGGAGAATTGGAGTAACAAACAGCTTTTTCGTAATTTGAAATACAACGCACTCAGAACTCGCTCGCTTACTCTAATTTGTAAAAGGTAATATGTCTTTCAGATTACTCATATGTTTACAGACGCCCTTCTGGTTTATTCGATGCGCTGCTGCTGGCCATTGGATCGCAAATTTACTCTTGCAATCGCTTCGAATTATGTTAAAAGAAACAAGTGGAGATGCATTGATAACCACAATAATGGTACTGTCTCAGGTGGACTTCGCTAACAATGGATTTTCAGCTTTCAATGAAGCGATCTCTGTTGCAGAAACAAAGGTGAATTAAGTAAAGTGTGACAAATCACAGTTAGCTCCTTGTGAGCATCTTCGAACCACGCAATAACTTTACTTTTCAGGACTCTTTCAATTGTACAGGTATTTTTGATTTTATATCGGATTCAGTTGTGATAGAGCGATTAGCCAGCTTGGCTTCGGATCGTCCACAGTGTTTCTTCTCCGGACAGAGCGAAAGGTAAGTGCATTATCATGCGGCTGTCACTAGTTCTCTATATCGTCTACTCATATCTGAGCGTTAGAATTTGCAATCTTCTTACATCGCTTCTCTTCTATAATACACAGAAGAAGTAATTTTTCTTTAGATGTGTCTCAGGAAAGAACAACAATTTGAGTTTGAGAATGTTGAGAAAAAAATAATAATCAGAAATTGATTATGCTTTATAATGGCCATGTTTTTTTTTGCATGCGCAAAGTAGATGAGTTCAAATATGAAGTGCAAAATTGGCTTTTTACATTAAATTATGGTATCGGTGTTAACATCTCTTCAAAGGAACTCTGCCTTCTCCTCTAGACTTTTTTTTGGTAACGACTCATTCCGCTGTCTTCTAAATATGGAGTTCTATCTAGTAGAGTGCGATAGTACATGTTACTGCAACAGTATATGGGAACTTGTAGATGTTTACTAGAACAATCTAAAGTAATTTCAGCAACGAAGTCGAGCTGCAGAATATGATTGAAATGCGAATGATCAACGTAAACGAAAGTGAAAA